ACAAACAACCAAACAAACAAACAAGCAAGCAAACAACCAAACAACCAAACAAACAAACAACCAAACAACCAAACAAGCAAGCAAACAGACAAACAACCAAACAAACAAACAAGCAAGCAAACAACCAAACAAACAACCAAACAAACAAACAAACACACACTTGACACACATCTTCTCTGGGTCTCGAACTCGTGTCTCGCTCCTCACGGACCCCTTGCACCACCTTGTATAGTTGTGGTTGGTTGGAACCGGCGCGCGACACGTGATGTTCTGGTGGCCAATGGCTTGAGAAGGTACAACATGGTGCATAAAGCAACAAAATGCTAATCAGCAAACATATGCAAATAGCATATCGGTGGTGATCCTCTTGTTCACGTTCAGAAGTCTTGATAATGATCTTGGCTTGAAGCCGTTGCCATTCTCTATCCCATCCGCTGGATGGTACCATGCTAATCAGCAGGTGGATCCTGCTACTACGCACTATCCGGCAACAAATACTTAGGTCATGCACAAACCTGCAGGTCACCCAGATCCAACCTACTGAATATCCGCACAAATCCAACATGATCTCCATGCGAGGTCCATGTCATGTTCAGGATCTCCAGCTTCTCTGAGTCTCTTGACTCGTCGTCTTCTCCCAAAAACAAACACATGGGACTTGTTCTTTCGCCCCTCGACCGACGAAACAGCCCTTTTTTGGGGGTCTACGGAGTAACGAACGGGTAGCGGTTTCCCTCGGAAAAAAAGGCGGAATTTCTGCCCGAGTCTCCAGCATCCCATGGTGCGGATGATTGATGAACCTCAGACATCGAAGACATCGTCGCACAGGGGTTTGGCGTGGAGGTCGGCAGGGAGGGGTGCAGTGGCTCGATGTGCTTGGTTCATGGTGTCGAATTAAAGACTGAAGTCTCTTGAGTTGGTAGAATGTATTAAGATCTGGTAGAAGTGCATGAAACCGAAGAAACGTTGTCAGATTTATCATGCCAGAGTTGGCTTTAGACCAGGTCTCTGTGGCCCAGAGGTGTGGCTGAGTGTTTCTCTGGAAAAAATAACAGGCTAACCCTCTTCATACTTTTGCATCCTGTTTCTATCTGTTCATATTTAGTGGGGAAACCAATCCCCCGAAAACACACTAAGGTTATCCACAGACTGGGTAGTAGTAGGTTATATACAATGTTCCTTTCTTCCCTTCCTCCAGTTTCCGCTCTTCATACTGGACGGCAGGGCGTGGCCAGGAACGGCCGCGTGGTACCATGGCCGTCCGGTCCATGGGTCTGTTCATGGTTGAGATGGAGATCAGCTTGGTTCTCAGCTTCACTCCGGACCAGCGACGATCGACCGATCTGAAACACAGGTACGAACTTCCCGTTTTTCCACACCGAAGCGATGGGCGCGCGATGGCGTGAAGCGAGGGGCGCCCCGTCTGAACAGACCTGTCGACGTATACGCGACGGAGTGTTTGGGATATTCCATGGAGGTGTGACAGACATGGAGTGTTTGGGATATATAGATTACCCAAGAACTGGCGCCGACCATGTTCAAAAACCAAAAACAACAACCACTGGGCATAGCTGGGACCATCTTCTAGCAGTCCTTTGGGCAAGCCATTTACTGACAAACTGGCCTATCACTCAACAAAGTGACATCCAGCAGTTCAGTTCCCATGTGGGGGGTGAAATCGATAGTATCACTTGGGTCTATCATGGTCTATCCTACTGTAAAATCAGAGCCCATCCAGGATGATGTTGGTTCAGTTGCAGGCTGACATCTCTCAGTCTCGTGATGGTCCTGGTGATGTTCTTGTGAAACCCAACGACGGACTTCACAAGAACGGCCACCGAACGGACTTCACCCGTCTTCAGCATCGGATCGGACGTCCGCCGAAGCGATGCGAATTCGCGCGTCTTCGGGTCTGAACTGCTTGGGGTGTTGGATCCCCTTTTTGGAAAGATGTCTGCAATCTAAGGGGGCGCCGCCCGCCATCTAAGGGGCCTCCCGGCCGAACAAAGCGGGGTCTTTAACTCACAAAGCCGCCAACAAAGCCTGCCTCCCTTCAAACAGTGGTCCCCTTTTGGAGATGACCGGGGCAGGACTTCCACCTTCTCTTCACATGCTCGTTCGTTCCGGGACCCCACGGGGTCGGCGTCAACAACCCTTATATGCACAAGCAGCCCCTCTTCTCGGTCTGAAACTCGAATCCACCAAGCAGCTGCTGGATGTGATGCCCATCCGGTAACTTGTAGTTCCTCGATGTTTGGACCCTCCCAGTTCGCTTCAAACAAATCGGTGGGTGCCGCGTGTTGGTGCTGAGAGGTAAGTCCGAGTCCGGGAGAGGCCACGTGAGTGGGAAGCGCAGCAATTGAGTGAAACTGACCCATCCCTTCTCCTTTGCCCAAACCCTTCCGATCCATCTGGAATGTGCCACTCTCACGGCATTTGTCAGAAACCTCGCAGTCCTTCCAAAAGATTGAAAGGCCCTTGAAACGGGCACTGGCCTCCTATAAGAGCGTGCAACATTCATCCAAGGCGCACCAAGAAGTGCAAGAAGCCTCGGGCAGACTCCTCCGAATCATTCCTCAGCGTGCGAAGGCGCGCGAGGTCTTCGAAGAAGCGGCATCAAACGATGTGACACGGGTGTAACACCAGTAAAAACCAAAAAAAACATGAAACAAACACAACATGAATATGAATGTTCCAATCACATCATATATCGTAAAACCATGGGTGTGTCTCTTACGGAAATAGGGAGACCCCGGAGACTTCACCGGACCTGAACCGACCTGCAGCGGCCCCGATTGGGGCCAGGGGTTCCCCGGGTCGGTTCGAGGCCGCCGACCAGTCGGCTGCTCTGTGGCGACACAAACGGAGCAACAAACACCGTTGGTTTCCCCGAAGTAGATGCTGTCAAAGGGCCGAGGCATACACTCTGTTGTGCCAATCAAAAGAGAGTTACAGGTGCCCAAGAATAACAAACATGGCTGCAGTTAGGACCTCAAACACAGCACCCCTTCACAGCTCATCCAAGTGGCTTCAAGCAGAGCTTCAGAACTTGAACGGCCCAGGGCCTTGGAAGTCGCAAGGTCGACGAGTCGCCAGGTCCGATGTAACGGTCCCCCGTTCGCCGGAAGCCGGAACCTGCCGGCGGAACGAGGCACAATCCTGAGGAACAATGCAACAGTTGAGTTTAGGCCATTAGCTAAATACCTCGAAGCCAAATTGACCTCTTTGGATACCGGGAACATAAAGAAAGAACCACTGCCAAAACGGGTTCGGTGGTCCCACCCGTGTGCAAAACACCACTGATCACCGAGACCTCCGGCGCGATCCGCGATCCGCTCTGCTCCGCTTCTGCGATGGAGGTGCTGCCCAAAGCAGCAGATCCAGGTAGGTGGGTGGTAGGTAGGATGATCTAGGAATCTAGGCATTGAACATGTACAACATTGTACAACGCTTCTGCTTCCAAAGCCAGAAATAGTCAGAAAGCCTCAAACCGCATCCAGGGTATACCTTGAAGGTGAGACACTTCGTTCCAATCTTCTATGGACCTCAACTTCTACGGCCGAGCTGCAGCCCGTTACTGAAAGTGGGGTTTTTGTTGCAGGACTTTCAGAGACACTTCTGCTGCAGGGAGACCTGGTACGGGACTCTTCGGAAGCAGCTACAGCAGCTACAACTGCTACCAAACTCCACTGTCTGGAGACAGGTCCTCTATAGAATTCACCCCAAAACACAAGGTAGGACACGCACACAACCAGCACGAAAACTTTTGTGGATGTCATGCCTGGAGCTAGCAAGACACATATCGTAACAATACCATACCCACATGGCGAGGAAATAGCTTACCATCCAAAGCTATCGGCGAAAGGGAAGACTTCTCAAGCATCTGCAAACCACATCTGAGTCACGCATCGCCACGCAAACACCGAACAGCCCAAGGGGCTGTAGCAAGGAGGACAGGTCGTTCGGCGGCATCACATTGGGCGGTATCATCGCCGTCATGGCCATGGGAAAATGAGCTGTGCGCCGGAACCCGCGCACGGAGACAGTCGTTGGTCTGTGTCTGTTTTGGCCTCGAAGTCCGACCGACCGACCTAACAAACAGGTAGAAAACAAAGACCAGTACAAGGACCTTCCAAGGGGTGTCTATAAATAGAGGTTAAGGGGCTGTCCCAAAACCACCTGTTGGAAGGTACTGGTAGATGAAATCATGTGAAAACCAAATGTGTGCGGCTCTTCCGCCGTTGCTGCTCTCTCTACTCCGAGATCAACAAAGAGTGCGGCTCGTCCGAGGAACACTGCGCTGTTCTGCAAAATGATCAAAAAATAACAGTTAAAAGTGTGCTTCGGAGTTCGTCAACTCATTCATGGCCCATCTGATTGGTAAATAGTATCCCTCTGATTGGTGTCCCACCTGGTTTGAATGAATGGGTTGTCTGATGTTGTCTGCTATTCTGATCCGAGAAACCTCGCGGCAGTCGCGCAGCTTCTTTGGAACTCACGCGGCCACGCGGCCCCCCTCCGCTGCCACGCTGAACGGCCAAGCTCTATGACCCAAACCACACCTTTCTCAACAAGCACCGGCCATTCGGGGCAGTCGGATCTGGTTCACCACTCTTCACCGGTCACTACCCTACACCTCCAGTCGTACCTCCTCAGAAGGGATTTGGAGCCTGGCACCCACCTCAAACACATTCGAAACGAAGGTACTTGGAGGCCAAGGGCAGTAATCCAGTACAGTATACCATTCGACTCGAAACCCACCGGTCCGGCCGACGCTCCGTTCGAACGGAGGGTCCGACGCCTCTCGAGGCTCAGTGAAGACACGAAGAGCTGCCGTTCGTTCAGGTCGGCACCATCGGTGTGTAAAAAGGGCGGAAGCCCACCAGTAACTATCTATTTGGATCCATATGGATCCACAGGTTCGGCACGACTGCACCCTCCTCTGGCACCTACATAGCGGTGTCGAACACATCACCTGCTGAGAAGGTATGACTGGATCCATAGGGCAAACAAGTTGTATTATAATTGCATGTTGTTTTTTAGTTAATAATATAGTTGTTCTGTCATAGACCTTCAGAGTTGGTTTGCCTGTGTTGACCTCCATGAGATAATCTTGGAAACCACGTTCTCACCCAACACACACATGGAGTGTGCATGATCTTGCAAAAAAAACATAGTAAATCCATGGTGGTTCACGATCTAGTATATTGATGTATATATATTATATTACTGCATTATACAAGTAATGTTAGATAATGTTAGAATTATTGGTACGCCGAAATGTCCCATTCACCCAAAAGCACGGTCGTGTAGACCGGTCGGCCCCGGCCTTCAGGCAGGAAGAGTGTGTCGTTCGCGTAGACCGGGCAGCCCTCGGTGAGGTTGTCATAGGCCTCGTGCGCGCACCGTGCACCGTGGAGCAACCGGGTCGACCGGAGAAGGCAACGAGGACCGGGTCGACTGCCAGTTCGCACCTTTTTTTGCACCTGGGACATGTGAATTGACCGGAAAATAACAACAAGAAACAAACTGGCACGACTGTACCCATGTTCCCAGCTAGGAACTGAGACTTCAACAAGCATGCAGGGAAAAGGTAGGACCGATCTTGTTGAAATGAGCTTCCAATTGCAACTGATCCAGGGTTGGGAAATGCCCAAACTCTATATATTTGTCCATCCCATAGCAGGTTGAACTGAGCTGACAGTTGCCTGTAAGCAGGAACACAAATGTGGAGGCCCGGTTTCTTCTTGCCTGACGGGGAGCTCTGCTGAACTCCGTTCGCCTCCTGAGCCATCTAAAGCCTACTCTGCATCATGAGGCATAATCAAATGACCATTAAAGGCTGCCTTGCCCACCAAACCATTCTCCCGGACTGTGCCTGTCCACTCTACATCCGCCCTCCCCCCATCCCAAAACCCGACATTCCACCCCCCGCCATCTGGCAAGAGTGGTCGGAAGTGTTTGCAGCGCTAAAGATTTCTGTCCTCGGCAAACGGGGAGAAGAACATCAGCCAAGAGGGCAAAAGATGGAGGATAGGGGTGATTGGAAAAGACAGGTTAAATGCTACGGTGTGGTCAGGTGGATATAATGCCAAGCACCTGATGTTAGTATCCCACTGGTAAGTCTTTGGTCTTTGGATAGCAGCGATGCCGCATCTAAACATCCTTGAAATGGGATGGCCCGATCTCCTTGAAATCCCTTGGTTATCCTCCAGACTCTATCAACTAGCAACCCAGGCCATACAGACTCTACCATCTCCGTCCACCGTTTGCTCAGACAGCCAAGCACTATATACAAAAACCACCGGTTTTGGGACACCAAACAGCCAAGCGACTGCATTTTCTTCAACTCCTCCCGCAATTCCTCTATGAGCTCTTTCAAGTCCTCCTGCTCGTCATCCCCCTGACAATGCGAAGTGACAGTGGGTGCTGGAGAGCCCTTCGTACATTGCAGCTGCAAATGGAGAAAATGTAAGGAACAAAAATCCTGGGATCGGGAGAGATGGCGTTGCACTTTACAAGGTCTTATATCCAGAGTCTATGGTGGTGTTAAGGCCATTTGCCACAGCACGGTCCGTCCAATTCCTGTCCAGCTCAGCAACTATATATTATCAACAAACTGTCCGAGGGCCATTTGATGGGCTCGAACAGTTTTAAAATGTTATAAGGTGTAAAACAAGGTCACAGCCGTTGTGAGGGTGTCACGTATGGTCGTTGCCGCGTCCACAGAGGCGTGACGTTGTTTAGACCAGAACGTTAGTAGCACACAAACATCGATGTGTATTTACTATATATTTACCGGAGTTTCATTCCTTATGTGTCAATCCCTACAGTGCTCCAAGTACCTCCTCAGAAGGTATTTGGACCTTCCAAACCCACCCCAAACACCTTAGAAGGTGCTTGGAGGTGTAGGGAATTAGACAGCCCCTGCCAGCAACCTGGCTGAGCGGAAACCGGGGTCCATCCCTCTTCCCACGCGTCGCAGCTGTTAACATACAAGTGGAATCTCGCCATATTCAAGTTTTTGCTGGATCAAGTGTCTTCAAGTGACCCCAAACCCCAGCATGGTTGATCATTGTTGACCAATCCCCGTTCTGTTCTTTTGTGCCTCTCGTGCAACCCGCGCAAAACATCTTTGGTCAGAACATGTTTGCCCCATGTTATAGCAGGTCAGTGGAGTAGCAAGTCGAGGAAAAAAAACAAAAACACGTAACAGTGAAACACTGTGTTGCTATGGGGTCCTTAATAACGCCGTCCGCTAAAACAACGTCACAACTTTGTCAGAATAGAGTAGTGAACCCTTGGGAACTCGTTGCCTGTAGTAGCCTCAAAATTTACTGTAGTGAATTCGAGCAAATCCTATCCGATCATGATTATCATATGAATTTCATTGTATTTCTAGCTAGCTAGCAAAGGGGTATAAAAAAAAGAAACATGAAGGAAACACACGCATACTAAAACATATGATCGTGTCTCAGCCTCGCCACCATGACCCAAAGATCGTCTCTCACCGCTTCAAGATCGCCGCACCTTCTTGGAGGCCTCCCGCGCTGCCTTCGCTTGCTGAGCAAGGAGCAAGACCATATCCTCCGCCGAAACCGGTGAAGCAACGACCCACCGCGATCCCGGACCTCCGCAAAGCCACGCATCAGCAGCAGTATACTGCAGTTCACGGTGGGAAAGGCGTAATATATATATATATATGTGTGTGGTGCTCGTTGTCATCGCTGTTGCCACTTTGGTCGTTGCTGTGGTACAATGTGAAACCGGTAATAACTAGGGATTCAAACCTGATTTGCTGTGAATCTAGGGGATAGACACCAGCCCCACCACACCCCTCCAGAAATAGAAACGCTTCCACTTGCGGGAGCCTCAGTCTGTAGAAACGCCGCGAATCATATGATATGTATATATATATATGTGTATTATTAAATATGCATGGATATGTGCGTATGTTTACAGAGAGACATCCAACCGATGGTTTTGGGTCTATGTTCCTTCTTCCCTATAGTTCAATATACACCCATATGCAAGCAATCAAGCAATTACAGTATTACAGTATATATCCAATAGGAATTGTCCGTTGAGGTCAGTAGTCTCTGCACTGCCACACGTTGCACCCTGTTCGTCGCATCCGTCCTCCATCTGAGAGGTCTTCGCCTTGACCTGCAGCAGGTCCCGTGCCGTGCCGAGCTGGTCCCGAGAAGAACGGTGTCACCCGTGCCGCGCGATGGGCGGAAGATCGCACTTGGCGGGGGTGGGGGATTCTCACACTTCCGAACTGCCCAGACGCGACCCTGGGCCCGAAGCTATGGTCGGACCCTCAAGTGGATGGGACCCGAATCCTCGGGATGGGTCTGGCGTCTCAATTCCCTCGGTTTTGAGGGACCAAGGGCTGTTTGGAGCGTCTGGGTGTATACACTCAGCTCCCCTATATCAATCATTGTAATCATCAAGCACAGCAACATTGGAAAGCCATGGTTTCCACTCGAGGCTTTGCCTTAGAAGTCCCACTCGGCTGGGCGAGCAGCTTCAAGATCCCGTCCTGGCGTGGTTTGGACGCGCGGGCGTTGGAACGTGATGAGGAGGGTGATCATGGCAAGCATTGGACCAAAAATCCCTCCTCCCAGTTTGTCTAAATATAAGATCATAATATAAATTAATGGATGGTTTGTAGTTGGGGGGTGGAGATCCCCAAAAAACATCCCAAACCCATGAAGACAACACCGTGATACACCGTGTTTGTTCTCCTTATTCATAAATTCAGCACTTGTCATGAGATGTCATGAGGATATGTATATCTATGTCCTAATCCACAATATAGGTACAACACGCTCTGCTGACCTCAGCGCATCTTCACATCTTCAACTCTGCCTGCTGGGAGAGCTTGCTGCTCATGGCGGTGGCCAAAATGGCCAGTGAGATCCATCGGAACATCCTGCCGGACTCGACGTCCGAGCTCCGACGCCGTTCTCGGTGGTTTCGGTGATGTTCCGGAAGATTGACCTCATACGTTGTCCCATAAAACAGCTGAAAAGGTACCCTCATGTAGTACCCTCATGTAGTTGTTCTAGGTACGTAGTACCCTCATGTAACCAAATCTTCCAGTCCCATGGATTGGTGTTTTTGCGATCCGGAGCCCTGGGGGTTGGGGTAGGAAAGGTGGCGAAGGGGTTCGACAAAAAAGGTGTCCGATCTCATGACTTCATAACAGCCCTACATCTGGCAAGTGCATAGCCAAGCTTGTGTGTCGGCCTCGCGGGGTCTGTTTTGCTGCCTTGCACAAGTCCTTTTTCATCGTGGCAGTGAATATCTGTGGACATGCCTTGCACCAGTCGACGTGCCTTTTTCTTCTCCCTGTCGTCCTTGCCAGGCAATGATTATGGATGATTATGGAATAACCCTACACCTCCAAGTACCTCCTCAAAAGGTATTTGGACCCCTTCTCAGGGTAATAGTTACAGTGGGCGTTTTTCATCGTTTGTTGCGCCAAAACGAAAGTACCGAATGCCCGTGTTTTTTGATGACCGACCTGGTTGGGCTTGCTTGCAGGTGGCCAAATGGCAGCCACACGCGGATGTGAGACACGCGGATTTGAGATGCTTCTTGTTCTGAGAAGGAAGTTGCATTCTATGAATGATTGGGGCACAAACTGCCATCATGACACAGATTTTCACGTGATCAGGGACCAGTTCATCCACTTACAGGTCAGTTTGACCTGATTTGACTGGAGTTGGTGATATATATTTTTTTTTCAGGGCTGGGTTTTGCTGGGTCAGACTGGACCTGTATTGTGGTTTGGAGCTGACCTCTTACTTGATCTCAATCCGAGATCCAGGTTGGGCAGTTTGCCGAAGTTGGGCAAGCTTGTAGGTGATGAAGGATCTCCAGACTTTGTGGTCAAGGCTTAAGGCAGGAGGGGCTTCGGCTCAGTTCCAGCTCTGGGTGTCAACTCCTGTGCGTTGACATGATGGCTCGCCAGGAGCAGCCAGGAGGTTGGAGATTGAACGCAACACCCTCCAAGCCCAGTAATGGAGGCAAGAAAGCAGGCTGGCTTAAACGTGCAGCTTACAGCTTTGGTGGTTTCAGAAAACAGTTCACAAGCGAACGCATCACTGAGGAAGAAGTAGGGAAACAAGCTTGGGAAAAAGACCGACAAGACACAGCATCGACGACGGCAGGAAAATTTGCAATTCAGACAGCCAGGCATTGAGAAGTAGGAAATGTAGTAGCTATCTGGCGAAAAATGCCTTTGCACGGTCTTTTCCCTCTTTTAGACACCCGCAAATTTTGTGCGCAAACTGTTGCGTGCAAGATGATTGGATTGTTTTCGAAACAATTGTCCTACAGCAAAAGCAAACAAGGTGAGCAAAATCTCACTGGTGAACAATCACTGAAAACTAGCCTATTTGCTGGAGGAAGCTGGATAAGTCGGATAAGATTGTTAAATAAGTATACAAATATTGACCGGAAGGGGATTTACCCATAGGAGAAAAACATCACTAAACAAAATTAACTTCAAGCAAAACCAGGCTAGCGTAGTTCCACCCACCCGCAGCCGGAGGATCCTACGGAGCTAAAAACAAGGTCGTGTAGAAGAAATGGTGCCCTATTCAGGGGTAGTCCTTGGGCAAAAAAAGAGGTCGTTGGGGATTGGGGATATCTGGATCCTCATGACCTGCTTTTGCGGAGAAAAGGTGATTTCTGACTTTTCCGAACATGGGGAAGATTTCATATGTTTCTATGTTCCTGGGAGCTGCAAATCCAAGATGAACTGGTGCCCCATCAAGTCAAGCATCCACGCGTGATTTTCTCCAGGCCGTTTCATGGATCGTGGTGGGGTGCGGAAACACACGCACCTCCTCCGCCCCCGCAGTAGCTAGTCTCAGCTGCCTCGACGCCGGTGCCTCGTAGCCGCCTAGGGACAGTCAAGGCTGGTCTTTCTCAATTTGAGGAAAACACAACACCGGAGCTGAACAAATAGGGACAGCTTTCTCAGGTTTCTTCAGCTACATAAGGCAAAGCGGCCAGTTGTGGAACCAAAATCGAAACTCTGCAGATCTCTGCAGATTCAGGAGGTAATGTTGCAGAACCGTCCACCCAAACGAAGCCCAGTTGAACCAGTCTTGATGGCGGTGTGGCCGAGGCCGGTCACCGAGGCCGAGGCCAAACGAAAGGAACGGAGGAAACGTCCAGGCGCGGCTGTGTTTGGAGCCGGCCAAAGGGTTTTGGGGGGGCACTCAACTGCTCACCAGTTGAGTACCGATTGAACGGGTGAGCAAGGGCAGTCCACACCCATTTGGCTGTGTTAAAACCATTCAAAACCTGGAGTTTCGTGCACCCTGATTAAATAGGTCGGTTGGCCTGATAGTCAGTGCTGTTCATTCTTGGTGGTCAATTCCGGGTCAGGGTACCCCTGGCTTTGAAGAACTACAGGTCCCAAAACAGTGGGAGCGTCGACACAGGGGAGTGTCAGGCCCACCCTCACCATCCTTTCTGTGAAGCTTCGGCGATGGGCTGTAGATCCAGGTTCTGAGCCAAAGCAGCAACAAAACAGGTCGATGTGTGAGGTTTCACACAACACCACACCAATGTTATTTTAAAGGCGACCATGCCTAGTTCCCTCTGCGCAACACATGATCCCCAAACCCGAACCATTTAGGGAATATATGTGCTTACATGGACCCTTAAAACATCATACCAAAAACCACCTGAATCGAGGCCAATCTTCCGGTCCCCCCCGCTTCGCCCATCCAAACCCGCCAACCGAGGGGCTCTGGAGCTCCGGCGCAGCGAAAGTGAGTTGGAGCGAGTCGGCTGTCACAGACGCGCCGAAAGCTACATTCGATGTGTTCAGAGCCAAAGAACTGGCTCGGGCGCGGCGGGCTGTGAGCAGCAAGGGAGCTGTGTTCAGCCCCACAGCTTAAAGGGAAGGGGATGCGAACGAAGATGGGGGTTGCAAGATTGCCAGGTTCATCGGATGGTCATTGGAAGGGTATCGAGCTCTGGCTGGGTAAGAAGTTGCACTAAACTTTCAAACGATCTCCCATACTTGCAGCATATTGCAACCAGGAATGCCACTTCAGTTGCAACCAGTGGAATACCGTAGGATGAGAATGTAGCTCCAAGACAGTTTTCAGAGAGTGGCTTGTGAGCATGAATGTTGCTGTGCGCACATGGCAATCAAAAGCATTGCACCTGATCATGTCCGATTGAACGTGCAAAATGTCTGCGCCTGCTAAGTTGCTGTTCTGTTAGTTGCCGGACACTCTTTAGTGCGCAGGGAATAGCAAGGGTGAGGGATACACTCCCTCGAACTAACATGGAAGTGCACAATGGCCTCTTGGAAGACCATTTTCCTCTACAAACAGGATGTTTTCCACTTCCATGTTAGTTTTCAGGAGTGTATCTTGCAAATCATATACAGTAGCCTTTCACATGCATGGGACGCCTTGAACTCGCGCATTCTTCAAGGCCTCTGGTCATGTACACAGTCTTGGGGCCGTCAGGGTCAGTCCAGGACCGGCTTCTAATCTATTGCATCGTTGTCTTGGTTTCGGTGTATCCGTTGGCCACTCAAGATGCCCAACCACCCTTCCCATGCAGTTACTATATATGTCTGTAATGTTTTTGTTCACAGGGGCATGCTTCAACAGACCCGAAGGACAGGAGGAAGGACAGGCTATAATGACCACAGCAAGGTCTTCCCTCAAAAAAACATACTTCCCGCGGACATGAGCGCCGAACTTGTTCTCGGAACTTCTTCAGAATCCGTTGTCGCACGTCCTGGGGCAGGCTGCTTCAGCAGAGTGTCTTTCAAAGCGAAGCCCGTCGTTTGGTATTCCAAGATGAGGACAAGGCGTGTCCTGAATGAACTGACAAACAAACTGACTGGTGCTTAGCAGGGAATGAGGGCATGGATCCAATAGAATCTCTATTGGGGGCTCATTCCCTTATTCCCTACGAGTCGCACCAGTCAGAAAATGCTTGTGGAATCGGATGTGAAGCTATCTGAGGTTCCGCCCAATGCCGCGACCCCAGACCGCTTCGCAGTCTCGTCTCTTGGAGCAAGATTAGTGGAAGAAACATGAGGAAATCCTGCAAACAACACCCGGCGAGATCAGGATCGCCACGCCGTTGTTCGGCCATCAAATCGTGGAGGAAGGCGGGCTCGCAGCTGTTGTGCTTTGATGTTCTCAGGGTGCGGGTTCTCAGCTTGTCACTCTCCGGCGCGAGAAACAAATATCTTCAATATCCAAATAAAGAACCCCATCACCGTTGGTTGAAGACTAGCGGGCCTAGCCCAAAGCTGCAGTCTTCATAAGGAGGGTGGCATAAACTCCAGCAAAAAGCAGACTTGACGTACTGCAACTAAGAAGTTCGGCGTTCGGTTTGTGCCCTGAACACGTGGACTGCACAACAGAACTCGGATCCAGAGAATGTGCTGTGAACAAAAGGCAGAATGCTGTGGATTTCTGGAGTGAGTTGCACGCTAAAGCTCGTGTCGGGTGTGTTGTGAAGAACCTTCCCTTTCCTCCTGGTACGTGGTAAAGACTTCGGACAGAGTATTGACCTTAGCAATTCAGGACAGGCAACAACCAGCTCAGCTGGCCCAGCGGTCAGGCACGATTGCATGGTTCACAGGTCGCCAATCCAATTGCTACTTATCATCTACACACCCACACACCGTTGGCTGTGAGGCTATGAGGTGAGATGTGAGAGAGAAAACCATGCTCAGAAACAAACGATCTGCGTATCTCAGCAGCTAGTTGCAACTCAAACAGTTGGCTATGAGACTGGATAATAAATTATTCAGAAGGTGATTGGAGACCGCGTGATGTAGGTTTGGAGGGTCCAGTCGTACCTTCTCAAAGAGTATGTGGATCCCTAGGGGATTGATCTGAGCGATCGAAGGATGCGACGTCCTCTCTTCGAGT